CATTTGAACAAGTAAAATTATAATACAGCAATTAGAGCACCAACAGAAATATGGTCAAAGAGCTCAGAAAAAGTGATGGAATCTATCCGGCATAAGGTGACATCAGCGGAAACTTCCTAGAACCTAAACCAGCAACAGCAATATGACCGGCTTGGGAGAAATGCAAATTCTCTGCCTCCACCCTGAGACCCACTGAATGAGAATCTGTATTTTAACAAGATCTGCAGGTGATCATATGCACATTAAAGTTTGGGAAGCACTGTCACAGGAGACAGCATGTCTGACTCAGGTTTGAAGATGAATTATGTTTTTACTAGGCAAGCCCCTGGGCAGAAATAAGAGAAATACTTTCCAGGTGGAGGGACAGAGGAAACAAAATGTCCTGGGAGGCTATTACCAGTTGACCATCGCTGGAGCATAAGGGGTGTGTGTGGTCTCAGCAAGGGTGAGGATAACAGAACGGAAAGACATTGAAACGGTGGCTATAAATCTAGGCAAGGACCTAGATTTGAAAACACAAAAAATGTTGCAACTCTAGTTGCAGAGAGAAAAGTGTCATTGAACATGGAGAGAAGGTCAAATCTGTGTTTAAAAATATACTCTGGCAGCAGTGTTGTGAGTGGATTTGGGAGAGGCAAAGCTGGTGGATGATAAACCAGTTTGGAGATGATTTTTTGTCCTGCCCCTAGTACCAGTTATTGTTCATACTCATTCACTGTCATCTGTTATGTGGGTGACACGTGGAAATTGCAATTCGGAGTTCCTCAGTCACAGTTGGACAGCAATGCACAGCTATTCTCCCTCTTAAAATCCCAGTGAAATAAAAGCTGAGTTATTATAGTTTTGGTGTGTTGAGCTCTCCCTGTACCTTTCGGTTCACCAAATGCCCAGGTGCGTGGCAGGAGTCAGCTCATGCATCAGAGGACCACTAGGTACAGGTTTAGAAAGCCTGTGGCTTCCACACGGTTCTTTGTGGGATTTACCTTTGGGCTTGACTCCCACTGGCAAATGATTCAGAGAGGAAACTTCTCAATCCGATTGGATGAACAGATCTGCTTCTCAGATCGTTTATCCTGCAGACCCTACTCAGCCTGGATTCTCCCCAAAAACGAGGCCTCCACTGAGGAATAGGCGGATCATACCCCATTCAGCAAAATGCGTAGTGTTTTCCGTGCACGCGCGTGTGCATGTGCAGAAAAAAACTGCAGCTCCTCTTGTTAGAGGGGCTCTGGAAGGCAATCCAATCAGGAAGAGGAGGGTGGAGTTGAAGCTGCATTCACAAGGAGAGCCCATGTTTTTACTTAGAGTAGATACCTATTTGCAGTGGCTTTGAGGCGGGTGCTGGAAATTTGGTGCAATAAAGCCCACTCCCCAGAGCCACCTCTTGGTGGCAGCAGTGTGTGTGCAGTGTGTGTGTGTGTGTGTGTGTGTGTGTGTGTGTGTGTGTGTGTTCTATGACTCTGTGATTAAAGTTACCATTCACCTGCTATGACTTGGCACTGTGTCAGATGCATAAGACGAACAAGCTATCTTATCAGTTTTGGACCAAACACATTACAGTTAAATTAAGATAATTCAAGGAGAGCTTATTTTAAAAGGACTATTTAACACGGTGCGTTTCAGGGTTAGAAGAGCCACAGGAAGTGGCACAGAGGGAAGTAACAGCCAAGAAGCAGTTACCACCCCAAGGGCCAAAGAAGTGAGGAATGGAAGTGGTCACTTGAATGTGGAGGCAGAGAGTCACCTGGAGAAGGTTCCCTCGAGAGGAGATGACCTTTAGTGAGGGACAGATGAAGCCCAAGGTGGCATCACAAGGAGGAAGCTGTGGAATATAAACATGCTGACTCCACTCTCCTCCCTTCCCCAATCAACTACTGGGGCTTCTTGTTGGCCAAACCCATCTGTGACCGGAGGACCAGGAAATCCTCGCAGAGGAGTTCACAGAGGTCAGTCTCCAGGGCAGAGGGCAGGATGAGAAGAGTGGAGGGGGTCTGGAGGAACCAGAGAAGACACCTAGTACCGAAGCCAAGCTTCTTGCAAGAAGCCTCAGGCTAGTGGGAAAAAAGAAAGTCCAACACATAAATAAATACAGTTGATCCTCTCTATTTGCAGATTCTATACTTGCAAAGTCACCCACTCACTAAAATGTGTTTGGAACCCCAAATCAGTTCTTGCAGCCCTTTCACAGTCACTCATGGCCTGCTTGTGCCCAGAGCAGCGAAAAATTTAAGTCACCCTACATGCACACTCCCTATCAAGGTCGAACAAGGCGAGATTTTACTTTTGCGTTTCAGCTCATACTATCAACAAGTCTTTTCTGAGGTCTATCGATGCCATGTTTTTTGCACTTGTGTACTTTTTACTGGCCGTTTTGCTGTTTAAAATGGCCCTCAAGCATCCAGCTGAGGTGCTGTCTAGCGTTCCTAAGTGCAGGAAGGCTGAGACCCACCTTACAAGGAAAAGGTGTGTGTTAGGTGAGTTTTATTCAGCCTGAGTCATAGTGCTGTTGACTGTGAGTTTCATGTTAATGAAGCAACAATACATATTAAGTAAGCTGCTTTTGAATAGAAACGTGCCTAAAACAAGGTTGTGTGCAGATCAGGTGAATTTATAAAACCTAACTACCAAATGATGAGAGTCAACTGTGACTGTAAATGGCTGTTGTAGGTGAGCTGATGAAGCAGCGGTCACAATCCAGGGAGACAGAACGAGTGAAAACACCCAAAGAATCCGGGAGGGCTTCCCAGAGGAAGTGATGTCTAAGCTGTGTCTTGGAGAGTAAATGGACGTTGCTGAGGAAGAGACGGGCTGCGAGGATATTCCAGGCAGAGGAATCCAGTGTGCATAATAGGAACATATTTTGTTCCACCTTCCTCCCATGCATTATTTTTATGTTAGGAATGGGAACTTTGGGGCCCAAAGCCAGCACGTCCTGGAGAATCAGTTAAAGGAGCCTAGTGGATTCTGATTCCTCACCCTCCAGGTTCACATCTACCCACACCTCTCTCCACTCATCTAGGCTACTGAGGAGTTCCTGGTCCCTTTCCATCTTCTAATTTCGAGTACAGTGTCTATAAGCTGAGACAAGCCGTACAAACATCTATTTATTTGCTTTTCTGTTGTGTATATCTTAAAGCATTTTCCCATCTAAGATGATATTCAATCTCCACAGTAGCTTTGAGATGAAGGGCAGGTGAGGGGACACTTGACAGAAAGGGAAAGAGATTCACAGAATGCCTGAGGTAGCAGAGCTACTTAGCTCAAGTGAGCCTAGAACTCAGAGCTTATTCCAAGTCCTGCACTCTTCCTAGAGATCACACTGAAATCTGAGCCATGGTAATAATAATAAAAACAATAAAATTTCCCCTTTTGGAGAATTTATGAGGGCTTTGCTTAGTGGGTTACATTTATCCTTTCATTGAATCTTCCAAGAACCCAAGGGATAGGTACAATTACGATCTTGTCAATTTTAAAGATGAGAATGGGGCTCAGTAATTTAGGAAAACCATTCATTGTCCCACAGTTATTAAGGGGCAGAACGGGGGCTTGAAGTCAGCCCTGTGTGTTCCCAAATTCCATGTTCCCAACCATTCTTTGGGACTGATTATAAGGTCACCTATGCCAGCCTTTGAGAAGCCAACCCCGCTGTAGCTCGGCTATGCTGTTGCTTTCCAAGCCTGATTTGGAATATGCTCAAACCCTCCTTATCAATTCTTATCCAAAATTGTTGTAAATATATTTGTTTAAATAAGGATGAAAGGTTCTTTGCTGTCAAGTTATATGTGAAATATCTGACCTTCAAGGGAGGCCAGTTCTCCAGAAGTTGTGGGAAGGAAGCAAAGTGAAAGAAAGGCTGCAGAGAAGGGGGTGGGGTGGGGAATGCATTTCCAAATAGCCCAGGACGGAGCTGCAGTGTTTCAATAGCAAAACAGCCCTCGATATTTCATCTGTAAAACAAGGCCACTTGTGAGGATTTTGTGAGGATAAAATTAGCCCATCTATACACAGTACTTGGCATAGAGACTGATTCCAAATAAACACCCAATAAATGTTAGTTTAAAATATACGTTTTACAGGGGAGGGTATAGCTCAAGTGGTAGAGTGCATGCTTAGCATGCATGAGGTCCTGGGTTCAGTCCCCAGTACCTCCTTTAAGAATAAATAAGTAAATGCACTGAATTACCACTCCCCACCAAAAAATAAAATAAAATATATGCTTTAAGAAATTATTTCAGATTCAAAAAGGAAACAGGCAACCCAGTTTCCAATAGAAAGACCTAGGTTTGGGTCCAGTTGGTCTTGGTCAACCCTTCCCTTCCCTGGGCCCCAGTTCTTTCATCTGTAAAATGAGGCAATTTTGAGCAAGTGGTCAGGTTTTATCTAATGGACAATGTAAATTGTGTAACTGATCATCAAGTTGTTTCTTTTCCTGCTAACTACACGAATGCTTAACTTCACAAACCAAACGTGTGAGCCCACTGCAGCAAGCCCATAGCACGTGGAGATATTTTTTGTATTTTTCACATTTTCTCTCCATCTCATACCCTTTTCCTCCTTTTTAAAAAAATGTGTATTACTGATTTTAAAACATTTTAATATAATGTATCTCCATAACTTGCTTTAAAGGTGTTTTAGAATAAGGCGGCATGTATATGAAAACAAGGATTCAGGGAAAATGAAGCTGGATATAATTTTGGGTAAAAGTTAAGAGCGTGAGTTTTGGTTTCACTACCTCGGGCAAGTTATTTAGCCTGCCTTAGTTTCCTCAGTTATAAAAGGAGGCTCACAATTACAGTTTCCTCATAGGATAATTTTGAATACAAAATGAGATAATGCATTTGGTCTGTGTCAGCCATCACTGTTAATGGTAGTGGTTATATTTCTCTCCAATTCTCTCACCCATTCTAGATGTTCCACTATTAGTTTCTATGAAGCAGGGTCTGTGGTGGATTTCATTTAATTTATTAAAAAAATTTTTTTGTAACAGCTTTATTTCCCCAAAGGGGTGCACTGTTCCTGGAAGTACTATAATACCAGGTCAACGTGTGGATTGGACAGAGCAAGATCCTATTCCGACTCCATGCTCCAAAAATCCATTTAACATACTGTTCTCAGATAGAGGATATATCAGATATTAAACTGATGAAAACAGATACTACACTTGATCTTAACCAAAAAGTCAAGAAGCGATGTGTGATGGATTTTAAATGGAGACCTAGATGTCCTAACTGACTTGGGGCTTTTCTAAAAACAAGGTACTGTTGCCACACACAGAACCACAACGCATGGCCCACAGCTGTGCAAGTGGCAAAGCAATTCTTGCCTCATAGCTGTGGTCCTCACATTGGTGATGGTGCAGCCTGGGGTTGGACGGGAAGGATATCTAAAGGCAGTAGGCAGATGGCTACAAATTTCAACAGCAATGTGTAAGCTAAGATATCACTTGTAATTATTCATTCGACGTATTTTTACTATTATTTCTATTATTTTACAGAATAGAATTCCCATTATGTACTAAGATCTGAGGATGCAATGGGGAGCAAGACATATCTCTGCTCTCTTAGATTTTATGCTCAAGTGATGGTATGCAGGTAAGTACGTGCACTGTTACAACATAGCGTAACAGGTGGTATGATGGAGGAAGCCCAGGGAGCTATGGGAGCCTGGACAGCTGACCCTAACCTAACCCAAACATGGAGGGGTCATGGAGAAAGTGACAGCTAAGTGGATACTAGAAGCATGAATGTAAGTTAGGCAGCATTGTGGGGGGAAAAGTTCAGATGGGGCAGGGAAAGGAGAACAGATCATTCCAAGCCAAAAAGCTCAGCTTGTGCAAAGGCCACATTCAAGTGATAACACAGCACGTTTGGAGAACTAAAAGATTCCTTTCAGCTGAAGCACACTGAGCTTGTTCACAGCAGAAGAGGCTGGAGAGGTAGACACCAGATCACGGAGACCCTGGGAGGGGATTTTGGCTCCATCTTGAGGGCAGTGGGGAGCTAGTGAAGTGCTTTAAGCATGGCAGGGGCAGGTCCTTTGTTTTAACTCTTGCAATTTTCCACCTGCAGAGGGACCTGAAAGTATATCTAACCTACTTCATTGCATAGATGGAGAAACAGAGGTGAAGTGACTTATCTAAGATCCCTTGGTTGCAAAACCAGGACCAAAAGGCAAGCCTCTGGATTTCTGAAACAGTGGTTTCAACAAGACCATATTGCTTCCCCTTACAAGTAAATAGAATTAGGGGCCAGGGAATTATTTTTGCCTCAGATCTAATCAAATATACATGTAATCATCTTTGGTTTTTAAGCAATGTGCTCCTGCAAGGTGAAAAGGCAGGGAAGGAACCACAGGGAGAAATATGTCTTCCAGAAATCTGCAACATTCAAAATAATATGCCGTTTAGAATGAAAATCCTACCTCTTGTTACATATTTGTAATCACTGACACCCCGAATCCCAAGGATCACAGTGGAAAATGAAAAATTAAAACCAAGAAAGAAACCTCAGTTTCATTTTTAAAGCCGTCCTCCACAAACACCCCCACAGCTTTCTCATATGATATTAGGGACAGAAATGTGTGTATATGTATATATATATATATATATGTATATATATGTATATATATATATATGTATATATATGTGTATATATATATATATATATATACACACACACACACACTATATATATATATGTATATATATATAAAAGTCATCCTTTCTGAAATAGCAATTTAAATTAGAATGAGTGATGTAACATCAAACCACAAAGGATCCTGAATGCTGAGGGAAATGATATGACATCACTGAAGGCAAAGACTTCCACGAGTTCTTTGCTGAGAGTTGAGTAATGTGGCTCCTCTATAAATAGTCCCTGATAGAAATAGCTAAGTGATTAACTATAAATTTGTGAGCCCGTTGGAAATATTTCAGAAAGTTTCCCCTGCAGCAAATGTTTCCCTCTTAACTTTAAAACATTTCAGATGCTTTTCAATTATTTACCTTGTGGAGTATGAAAGGCAATAATTATTCCACACATTAAGTATGGCGGCATCTCAGGAACAGAGCGGTGAAAGGTCCTGCTCGGGGATCCCAAAGCGAGAATTTGGTGCTTTCTGACTTCAGCCAGGTCTGAAGGCCCACGGGGCCACATCTCAAAGGGAAAACCATTTCTTCCGAGAGCCCCACCTAGCAGGTAAGTCTTGAAGAGAAAGATGCCTGCCCTCTCAGTTCCTTCCCGGGCTTTGCCAGGAAACACTTCCTGTCACCATGTATTTGTCTTTTTGTCCGCTAGGCAATTAATTCACCTTGAAAGAAATTGAGGCAGGTCCCTGCTTAAGAGATGGCAGCTTCAGGGGCTCGGCCTCAAGGAAGTGACAAGGAGGGCGAGAAGGTATTCTTGACCAGAGGAGCAGCATTTGGGCTCCGACTCCATTGCTGGAAGCCCCCTCTCCCCAGCCCTCAGGTTTATTTTCTATCACTTCACCCTGTCCGTCTCCTTCACAGAACGTCTCCCAGCTGGAACTGGACGTTTGCTAGGTAAATTTATGCCCATCTCTCCTGGTAGGTGATGAGCTCGGAAAGGGCAGGAGCCCTGTCTTTTGTACACCAGTGCATACTCAGCTCCTGGCACCGGGCTTGGAACAAAATAGGTGCTCGACAAACATTAAGTAGATAAATGAGCACTTGGAGATAATGTGAGATCAGTGAGATGCGAATGGAGCCCAAGGCTTCAATTCTCCCACGGCTGCAGGTGTAGTTCCCAGGCCTGGGGGGCCTTGGGGAGCTTGTGGACAAATGCTCCCTAAGCGGCGCGGCTGGTTCTCCTGGGGCGGGAGCCGGGGCTGCAGGTCCGGGCCGCGTCGGCCGCGTCGAGGGGAGCACCCGGAGCCCCTGGCCGCAGCCATTTCCTGCTCTTGTGC